AATACTTATAGCGAGCTCTTAAATCTATATTATAATACTTTAAAAAAATTATTTTTATATATATATTACTAGAGATAAGAGTTACTTCTAAATTATTTTTTTAATTATTATTAAAAAAGAATAATAGAATAATTTCTAAATTTTAAGTAATTAATAAATATAATTTTTATAAGATAGACTATTAAAAAGATTATATCTCTTCTTAATATTTTTAAAAATATTATATCTAGTAAAGGCCTTTATAAGCGATTCTAAAATATATTTAAATAATAATTATAAATCTAATAATAATTTAATCGATAATAATATTTAGAAAAAATTTTAAGTTAAGAGAAATCTTCTTAAAAGCGCCTCGATAGAGAATTCTTTTAAGCTTTTTAGCGAATTTAATTGGAAAGCTTGCTTTCTCCCTGGCTCAAGAATAAAATCACTTCTGTGCCAAGCCTTGCTGTGAGACTGTTCTGGGAAACTCTTATCTTATTAGGAAGTAACTAAGGATTTAGTAGATCTTAGCTAAGAACATCAATTTCTTCTCTAATTTTCTCCAATCCTCTCTCACTAAGAACATCAATTTTTTCTCTCCAATCCTCTCTTACTAAGAACATCGATTTTTTCTCTGATTTTCTTCAATCCTCCCTAAGATGTCTTAATTAATTCTTGACTTTGGCCTTGTATTCTCTGCAGCTCGACGTACTGTAAATCGATATTAAAAGAATTATCAAAAATAAAATACCGAGCGCGCTCTCTTATAGTTATACTTTTAAAATTAGTTACGATTTTAGAGAAAAGCTTAAAGTCGATAGTAACGTCGATTATCTTTATGCGATATCGTATTATAATCTTAACCTCAATCTACGATATCTTAAAATCTTCCTTAAACTACTCTCGAAGGTATTAATTCTATACGTATTATCGAGACGTAAATAGATATCTTCAAGTTCGATACTTTAGACCCCGATATTAAACGCTCTATATTCGATGTTTATAATATATATCTACGAAAAAATTAAGGTCTTGACGCTTTAAAACGCGTTTACGAAAAAGTCGAAATAAGTTATTTTTATCTTTAATGAGAGGTTGTCGAGGATTTGTGTGATGATCTCGTATATTGGATACGTTTTTAAGAAGAGTGATTCTTATAAGGGCCTATTAGTATCGAATTATAAGACGCCTTAGATTATGTATTTTACGTTGTGGAAGCTAAGTATATAGCGATCGATCAGTCTTAAATTAAGGATGAACTTAAGACTTTGTTATGTACGGCGATTCGGCGTGGAGATCTTAAGGCTATTTATAAGCAACTTCGGTTTATGATTGATGATCGTTATAAGGAATTTCTTTAGGGGGATTATAGTTATAATCTTGACGAAGCGGACGACCCTATACCGATCTCAAAATGGGCTTTATGTAAATAATTTCGAGCTTGCGAGGACGGCCCCTCCGGCAGGAGCCCCCGGAGGGCCCTCGGAGAGCCCTCGGAGAGCCCCCGGAGGGTAGGGGGGCTTAGGGGGTCTCCCCTTAATAGAATTGGTATTATGCAGTAGTAATCTTCTCAATCTTCTCAGTCTTCGGAGAGCCCCCGGAGGGTAGGGGGGCTTAGGGGGTCTCCCCTTAATAGAATTGGTATTATGCAGTAGTAATCTTCTCAATCTTCTCAGTCTTCTCAGTCTTCTCAGTCTTCTCAGTCTTCTCAGTCTTCTCAGTCTTCTCAGTCTTCTCAGTCTTCTCAGTCTTCTCAGTCTTCTCAGTCTTCTCAGTCTTCTCAGTCTTCTCAGTCTTCTCAGTCTTCTCAGTCTTCTCAGTCTTCTCAGTCTTCTCAGTTTTCTCAGTCTTCTCAGTCTTCTCAGTCTTCTCACATCCTCGGCAAGTTTTCCACTACTGGGTAGCCCCGCGCCCCAGCACATATTAAATATTTAGCACTTAGAAGTAGCTCTAGAATCGAGAAATAAGTTTTAAATTAATATCTAAGATCGGAACTCTCTTAGTAGAGCATAGCCTTCAGCTAGAACCCCGATGCTGGTCTTCGGACCCTATCAATGAATAACTACTACTACTACTACTCCCCAGTCAGAGTGCGCACGCTTTTACAACATTTAGCGTATTCAAAACCCTCTGGAATGCTTGGCACCGGAGATCTTTCACACCACACACCCGAATTCGTACTGCTCTCCACAAAGTCATTCAAATGAGTTAGCTACGTCGCGAACAGTCGCATTGAATCATATTTGGAGCTTTTTTAGCCTCAGCCATCCCTTCTAAACCCATTATTAACCTAGTAGCTATCCAATCGTAGCCGTCGCCGCCCCTCACTCGCTGTCGCAGCAAGAACTATCCCCCTATAGCTACTAGAGATAGCCTAGACGTACTACTTCCGATTCTAGTACTCTAAACGAGCTTATGGCGCTGATTCTAGCTCCGAATAATCTTAATATTGAGAGAACAGCGAATCTCTTTGGCTACTTGCGAAGGCCTCCAGTAGAAACAAAGAACATGCTCGGCCTTCGCCTGAGCAAGAGTACCAAGGGGAAGAGGTATGGCGATTGGGGGGTTGAGGAACATACCAAGACTTCAGTATAGCTTCTTTTTGTGATTTTGGTACCTACACTAACGATAGCGGTGTTATTGAATGATTTTCCGGAGAGATGTCTGATGCCACAGTACGTGACCTTCTTGTAGAATGACCCCTCGATGAAGAAGCCACGCAGTACAGGCATTCGGATTGCACTTTTTACCCGATCGATAACACAGCCATGTACCAGTGATGCACAGGGTTCCTTGTACCCCGTAAGCTCCTCGATAGGAGGCTCAAAGCGTGGCTTACAATCTAATCTCCTTCGTACCTCCCAGGGACTATAATTCCCGAGGCACCATGATTGTACGAGCTCTGCGCGGTTGTCTCGCTCAGCAGCTCCGGTTGAGCGCCGCAACATTCGACAAAACCCCCCGCGAGCGCAATCTTCGCGTCCGGATCCAGGCGCGGTCTTGGAGAGGCAGCGCACGTCGTATCATGGCTCAAGCTATGAAACAGTTATGAGAGTGTGATGGGGATGATCCAGTGATTCTGTCGCTTAGCGTGACTCCTGCCGGCAATTGTCGCGGATCTAATTTCTGAGGCAGCCAGGCTTAGGCAGCGATGGGCGAAATGGTTCCGCCGATGAAGCGCATTTGGTCTCTAAGCAAAAGCCTGTTGTGGAGGATAGACGCGGTGAATCGAAGAAGGGGGCGGGGACTGTTGCGAAAAAGGCGAAGGGCTGATAGGTGGTGAGACCGGAGTACGTTTCTGACGGCTTGGCGCCAAGCCATCGGCAAAATAAGTAGGCGGTATAAATTGAGAAATTTGACCGACAGAGAATATCTGTTCAACGAGTTTCACAACTACAGCCTTCCTTTGTCGTTCTCATTGGTGCCTGACTAGCAGGTCTTATAGGTATGATAGACCTTTCATCCGAAATTGCAGCTGCCAAATAATAATACGGTTCGACTGTCCGATTCATATCATCCCAGCTATATGCTCGCCACAAGGCACATATGACGACGCAATGGTCTCTTGCCAGATATCTCTCCAGTCTATGTACTTGCTACTAGCCACATGTGACGTTCCCACGATCAATGTCCATCTAAGCAACCTCCAGGATGGGGACTTGCTGTCATACCCATTCCGTGCTCGTAAACAATTTAGGAATAGCTGGTTTGAAAACCTAACCTTCCGTGTGTAAAACGGTTTGCTCTACCATTGAGCTAATTTCCTCATGTTTGTTTCGCGGTTGCGATTGCAATCTAATCGTGAGATAAAAACATGAACTCATACCCATTTCGTGCTCTATAGGATCCGTATATCCACGCAGTAGACGAGCGTACTAAGCTGTCATGGTTGTTATTAAGATGTCCGAGGCATACTGCGCGCCGACCAGTAAAACTAGAAACATGCCAATGCTCGATACAAGAAGGAGATTAGATCAAGTTGACTAGTTGTGTAGTAGGCGTGAGGAAAACTCGCTGTTTCAGCTCGTCTGAGCTCTTTCCGATCGACGTGGTTGGCGGTGCTTATGATATCGCACCTGGTAGAGCAGTCAGCTGAGTTACAAAGATCTCCCTAACTATGCTCATATTTTTTATACGTATCTTGGGACGGGTCTTTGATAGGTTTCGCTAACATCGTAAGGCGCTCTCAATGAGAGTGTAGAAGTTCGTTTTCTTGAGATGTCGGATATGCGCTCCCCTCTCGGAAAAGCAAAGCGTGCCTCTCGGTCAAGGTCATCCTTGGGCTGACGGGTTACCTGAAACTTCTGTTATAATTACTAGGCACTGGGGCTCTTGTCGTCGGTCGTGCATGTAGCTGACCCGATCTAGATATATCCGTGTCCCGCATCGATATAATATTGAGCTGAAAAGAAAGGGATTCTATCGAAAGTCGCACTCTTCTCAACGGGATGATACTACTATCATGTTTTGCTTTAGGGGTAATGACTAAGGAAATAGCGAATTTCTTAGGCAATAACTCTTTTGTGGATGTGATTATTCGACGACATGTCGCTTGAAGTGAGCACTTTTCGATTGCTTTGACCACCTAATAGTGTGTAACCGTGGGTGCTGTACCCATCGTGTGTCAGCATAGAAAAGGTAGAGATCCAGTTTAACAAGCAGTATTACAATGTATCGAGGATAGGCTGGTCCGTAGCTGTTGGTATCTTATCCTGCATTGGGGGTGATTGTCACTTCAGGTCCGCTGAGATTGCAACTGAGATGTCAAATTTTTGCCAACGCTTAGATCACTTCAGACTCACTTCAGACTCGGAATGCACATTTTGGCTATACTATGTCCTTTGCTCCCCGCATCTTCTAGCGGTTTCGGCAGCGGTCTCCATCTATTCTACAAGGACGACATAAACAAGCAATCTCCTTGAAGTGATTTGAGCGAAATTCCAGCCAACAACGCAAACGCTGACATCAACCTGACCCCCAACCCAGGCGTTTCACGTTTTCAGAGATACTCCTCAATCATGCCGGACCTCAAATTGCCTGAGGCGACTTGGGGCAGACCTCCTGGCCGCACCGCGAAGAGAAAGCGCCCGGACCCTGACTTCGACATCGCCATTGACCCAGACAGTCAAGTTGATCGCTTCAAACGCCAAAATATTGGGAATGATACCATCGATCTGACTCCATCACATCGAATACCTGATGTCCTGGGGTCGCAAGAAACGGATCCTGCCTATACAACCTCAACAAGAGAGTCTCAGCGCTCTCAGCTTCCAGCCCCTCTGCTAGATTTACTGTCCTCCCAGCCCTTGCGAAAGCCATCAATATCACCCTCTTATCAATCAACTACACTTCCATCAGAGTCTCAGTCGCCCGATTTGCCCGCCTCCGCCATATCTGAGCTTGAAACCCTAAGTGCTGACAACCAACTCGACAAGCCCAACGACAAAGGCAAGGCCATCCAAAAATGGGATCCTAAGGTGTGGGACGAGAATGAATTCGACAGCGACGAGGAGAATATGAGCCTAGCAGTCACGATGAAACTAGCCACCGAGCTCTCCCTCTTGAAGTCGTTCCTTGAGATCTACAGAAAGTTCAACATCCATTCGCAACAGTGGGACTGTGGGTTAGTGGGTCCATTATGAGGCCATAGCGTTGGTGGCTGTTTGACCAGCCGTTCGCCACAGTGGGACTGGGGGTCCTGTTGGTACCCTTGTTGGTACCCCTGTTGATACCCCGGCAAGGGGTTGAGGACAGGTGTCCAATACGAGCTATATAGCCACCTATTTTGCACCTATTAACGGCTCTTTATTCGATTTTATCTCTTTTAGAGCCATATTATTTTCTTCTTCTTTCATAGTTGAGTTTATATAAATTAATCTTTATTTAACTATTATAAGCACTATTCAACTATTATAAATATACTTTATACTCTTATATACTTCGTAATAACCCTCGCCGCTATTATTAGATTTAAAAAAGCGATTAAATATATTATCCCCGTCTTTAAGATTATTAAAAAGATCTTTAACGTAATTAATAAGATTAATAAGACTCTTAAGACTAAAAAGGCTTCTAAGACTATTAAGGCTAAAATATCTCTCCTCTATAAGAATATCCTTATATACGATATATTATCGGATATTATAAGCCCAAATTAGATAAATAAAACGCCCTTATCTACTATTAAAGTAGATCTTTAAGAATTAATAATCTAGCTATTTAAGATTTAAGAGAAATAAAATAATTATTAATATTATAAGAGTAGAGTTTATAAGTTACGCCGCTATTACTATCGCTATAGTCGCAGTTATTATTATTATTACTTAAATATATTAAATTTAAATTTATTTAACTCTAAATCGAATTAGAAGAAAAGAAGAGAGGTTCCCTTTTATTATATAAAAGATAAGAAGCTCTTTCTTAATATTATTAAAAGATTTTAAAGTATAAACGTTAAGTACTTTAAATAAATCTTCTTTAGAACCTTTAAGACTAAAAATTTTATTAAATTAGCCTATATATATACTATTTCGATTAAGAAGAATAAAAACGTTAATAGCTATAATTATATAATATACTACTTTTATATATACTTAATAGTTATTAATCGCTTTATATATATTAATATAAAGAAAGATTTAAATAAGACTCTATATATATATACTATTCGCTTACTACGATTACTTATTATCTATAAATTTAACTTTATTCTCGCTTATTATCTCGTCTTTATTATTATATATATTTAGAGTAATTAAAATAATTCTAAAGTCTAGAAAGCGAACAATTAGAGCTATAAAGATTTTTTTATATTTAAAAGAACTTATATAAATAATAGTAAGCTAAATCTCGATACGTCTAGCCTTAGCAAGATTATTATCGAAGAAATTAGAATTTATAAGAATTTTAATAGAGGTAGCTATTTTCGCGAGCGCTATATCTATTTATATATCTATATAATCTATTAGTAAAATTATTTAATAGATAAGTACTCTAAAGTCTCAAATTTAGCTATAAATAGTTTTAATTATTTATTATTAGATAATTATATTACTAAGATAAAATAATTTTTAGAGTACTCATAGATGCCTTAGTCGCTATAGTATATATCTAAGAGGTTCCTATACGCGCTATATAATCTACTAGACCTAAATTTATCTTATTAAAGATCGTTAATAATTAATAATTAATTTAAATAATTAAATAATTACTTAAATCTAATATTTATTAAGATTATTTTAATTATTCTTCGAAAGAGCGTTAAAATAGATTTTTAAGACTATATCTTAGCTTATTATAATTAAAATTATCTATTAATATATTAAGTACTTTAAATACTATTAATAAATCTCTAAAAATAGCTTTAGTAATATCGCTTAACTAAGGTTAACTCTTAAAATAAGCTTTACTACATCTATTCGCTACTTAATTTAATATCGAAATATAATAAAGATTAAAAGCGAATTTATAATCTCTTATTTCTATATAACTACTTAATTAATAATAATATTTAGGCGGAGTAAGGCGTATTAGAATATATTATATACGATAATATAGTAAAAGCATTACTATAGAAAGGCTTAATAGTTTAATTCATTAAAAGAGATCTTAAAGACGCTTTTAGATATATATTCGTCGCTATATTAAATTAATAGCTATTTAATTTTAATTGCGATAAACGCTATTAAAAAGAATAATATCTATTATTTAAATTATATATATTATTATTTCTATTTAATCTCTTTATAAAGGCCTTTATTTAAATCTTAATTGCGATCTTTCTATAGAAAATAGTACTTTACTATCTAAATAATTTCTTTATAATTCTTTTATTAGATAATAACGTAATTATATATATTTAGTAATTCGATTAATTATATAATAAATTAGATTTTTAAATTAATTATATAAAGAATATTATAGACTATATAATTAAGTTTTTAGAAATTAAATTCGATAGCATTTATATATAGATGAGACTCTTCTCGAATAAGCTAATTAAGACGAGAACTACGATTAAAAATCTTTTAAAAAGAATAATTATCTTATATTAGAAGCTCGAGTTAGCGATTAACTTTCTCTCTTTCGCTATTAAAGTTATAATTTTAGAAAAAGTATTCTTAAGGCGACTTTTTAATATCCTTTAAAGGCCTATAATAATTATATAAATCATAGATAATATAAGAATAGATTTACTATAATGGAACACCTTTCTAAAGTACTAAAATAATATCGCCTTAATACGCTATATCGATAGTTAAGTCACATAATATATATAAATCGATATATCTAGAAAATTCGATATAGGAGACTATATTCTCGACTATTTCGATTATATTTAATCGATTTAGTTTAAAAACGTTTTTAGTATTAAAATAGCTATATATTACCGTTTTAAAGATATATAATTTAAAGAAATAAAGATTATTTATTACGCGATAAAGCTATAATTATATTAATTACGAGGATCTCGCTTAGTTCTCTACTACGATAATAATATATATATTAATAAATTATATAAATCCTCTATATACGGGCTAGTTATAGCCCTATTACGCGATATAGCTATATTAATAACTACTTACGATATTATAATAGTATTTACTTAAATATCTACGAAGGCTAATTAGCTAGTCGATAATCTATTATATTTTCGATACTAAAAAATCGCTAATATATATTTATAGTTAAGAGGTCTTATATCTTCGTTAAAATAGGATAAGATCTATTAAAATATTAATATAATTAGATTATACTATCTCGAGAGACTATATAACTTCTCTAATAGAGGCTTATTATTAAAATTAGAAAGATATATATAACTTTAATAAGATTCTATATAATCTATTACGCACTAATAGAGATTTAACCTCTCTTTTTAATAACTATAAATACTTTTATAGGCTAAATTATTGACTTAAGTACTCGTCGCGTTAAGTCGAAGTCTATAAAGACGTATTTTATTAATCTTAGATTAGTCTATATAAATATAGAGTTTAATAATCTCTTAGTATTTTATTACTTTTAGTTATAACGTATTATTATAGATAGTTAATATCTTTATAGCGAAGATAATATAAAAGAAAGGCGTTTAATTATTAAGAATCTATTACTTTAAATTCTTTCTTATTTCGATAAGTTAACTTATACTAAGGCGACTTTATATATCTTCTTTTATCTTACCTTCGCGGTATTTCTACGCGTAAATAAATTTATTTATAATAAGCGAGATCTTTAATAGAAGGACTTCGGCGAATAGTTTCTTATATATTACTTAATAAGATTATTTAATAATTATCTAGAATTTACACTTCTAGTATCTAAAACGAACTTATTTCGTTATAAAATTATATTTATAATAATTATATTAGATAATAATATATATATAGTTAAAGTCTTATATTATCTCTTTAGATGAGAAGCCTCATCTAATATATCGCTATTTTAGCTAAGGGACTTCTTCTTTACTAGAGAGGTTGTTATTAATAATCTCCGCGAGATACTAAAGTTATTTAATATTAAAGGCTATTGTTTAGGCTATTTTTTTCGTAGAGAGATTATAATATTAATATATAACGTCGATCTTAATAATAATAAGATTTAATTGCTAGATCGTTAGAAGTTAGATTCCTATCGCCTATATATAATTACTTATCTAGTCTATATATTTAGAGTATTACTATAATATTAATATCTTTTAGCTTATCCGCGCTAGTACTATTAATCTCTATTACTTACTACGATAGATATCGTTAAAAATTCTTCTTAAGACTTTCACTCTCTTTAAACGATGTTTTAGATTATTTAGAAGTTTTCTAGCGCTAAAGAATCTTTTTTAAATTATTTATATATTTAAAAAGGTTTTAAGTATTCTAGTATTAAATATATCTAATTATCTATCTATATATCTATTTATATATACGTTATTTTATATATAGTCTTATTATTTATAAGTATTAATCGTAATAGTAGAATTATAGATTAATAAATCTATTATAAAGCTATAGCGTTAGTGATTATTTAATTAGCTATTCGCTATAGTAAAACTAAGAGTTCTATTAATATTCTTATTAATACCTCTATTAATACCTCGATAAGAGGTTGAGGATAAATATCTAATATAAGCTATATAGCCACCTATTTTACACCTATCAACGGCTCTTTATTCGATTTCATCTCTTTTAGAGCTATATTATTTTTCTCCTACCCACCTATATCTGTATATAGCCTTATTTTATTTTAGGGTATATCGCTTAGATATAGGAGTTTTCTAGCGCTGGGGGGCCTTTTTTGGATTATTTATATATCCAAAAAGGTCTTAGCTGCCTCAGTGTTGGATATGCCTAATTATCTATCTATATATCTACTTGTGTATACGTTGTTTTCTGTATGGCCTCACTGTTTGCGAGCACTAACTCGGCGGTAAGCAGAGCCCGTGCACACTAACCGTGCCTAATTTAGTACATCCATGACTACTGACACAGAAGAAACGTTCCTAGACATTGTATCCGGCCCCCGCCATAAAGGTTTCCTCTTCCTCATTTTTTCCACTGTCACTCGCCTCGAATCACACACCACGCACCTGCGCGCCCTCCGCAACGAAAAATTACGCGGCAGCCCCACTCCAAGCGCCATGGAACTCATCGCCGAGAAGATCTTTCGCAAGTCCAGAACTCGCCGTGACTACCTGTGGGATATTATGGAGGAGAAGGTGGACATGACTAATGTTGTGGAGAGAGCCATATGGGTCAAAAAGAAGAAGGCCGTGTTGGGAGATGTTATGGGCGGGCTGGTGGAGTATTTGGAGGAATTGGGAGACGAGGAGGGGTGGAAGGAGAGGGAGGTGAGGGAGATGGGGGAGAGGTGGGAGAAGAGGTGGAGGGTGTATGGTGCGATGGACAGGGCGGATCTGAAGAAGGCGGGGTGGATTCTGGATGTTGGAAAGCGAGATGGGTGAGAGATGTTACGATGATTGTCCTTGAGTGGCCCGGTCGATGATGCAAGGTGCTAGAAAGGATTGGAGGCTAGAGAAGTGGACAAGTATGTTGTTTTCGTCCGGCGATATTGCCTTATCGTGGACTTCACTTGTCCAATGACGGGATGTACGATATGATGCAGAGAGCCTTTGGACAGATTGGACAATGTGGGGGAATTCAGATAAAGCTGCATGTTTGTCCAACTAGCAATTGATATCAGAGAAACGTGATCTGGTCTCCTCCCCTAGTCGTTTGCTTCTCAAGCGTACTGATCTTGTGCATCCGCGAATGACATCAACAGGTTTGGATGTCACTTCTCGCATCTGGTACAAAAAATAATGCCTCGCTCCTTCCTCTCTCTTCCTCCCTTCCTTTCTTCATTTCAAATTTTCCCATATGACTAGGAGACTTCCTTCTCGTCCAGGTCGTAACCCCAGAACAAGCAAGTTACCTGATATTATATTCCGCCACGTCCTTGCCCCTACTTCTCTTACTCCCACAGCTGCCCGAGCAATGGAGAGAGTAGGGTACCCAGCCAACCACCGTCCCTCCTTTGGAACCCGACGGTCCAGCAGTCACATCACCAGGCGTGATCCATCCGACTTCAACAACGATGGACACCGCACCCTCGCCGTGCGGCCAAGATACTCTGAACGAACCAAGAGCTCCGCGGGCTACGACTCCGGCATCCGTGGTGGCGTCATTTACTGCCCACCCACACGCCCGGGGCTGCGCCAGGGTCCCATGTCGGGCTCTTACATTGGAGATCCCTTCGCAGGACTCGATGAACTCCCTCGCCGAGCCGAAGTCTACGAAGTGCCTGTGTCGTACACCTCTGATCTCGACGGGATGCGAAGTAGATCCTCGACGCAGACTTCCCGACCGAGTTCCAGGGGGTCTGAATATGTGTACACCGAGTACGAAGACGACGAGGAGAGGGAGCGAAAGCGGTTTTTGGGGACGGAGCTGTATGGCTATGTGATGGCCATGCGACTCAAGGACCGCCTTTTGGAGGTGCGTCAGGTCCTGCAGTTGTACAAGGACTTCGATCGTGCAAGTGGAAGTAAGTGTAGCTATCCCTAATGTCTTTTCAAGAAGCATCGTCACCAGGCGTATGGAGGCATTTCTCTTACCCGGAAGGCATCTAAAGAACCAGCAGTGACACGTTCCTCAGGTATCTTTGTGATCGAGACGCAGAGGGACTTCATCGAATTGATCCGCCAAGCAATCGAAGCTACCAGGGAAGTAGAAAAGCCATTGCGCAGATGGGCCGAAGCGGGGAAAAGCAAAACCGAAAGAGGATACTTCACCCACAAGCTTCTCGAGACAGCATCCGAAGTCATCAGACTCTGGCAAAAGCGTTTCGATTGGATCAGAACCCGCTCCGACGAGATGCTTTACGCGCATGGTGCAAAGGGCTCCAGCAACCGACCGACGTACACCACGAGGAGGGAAAAGTGCTTGTCTTCTGTTGACGAGGCTTCGATGCTTCTCAGGGCGAGAGAGATGGATGAGATTATGGAAGGAGTACAGGAGTTGGGAGATAGATTGAAAGGGGAGTGGAAACGCGATGGGAAGTTGAAACCGGATGAGATGATGAAAAGGAAGGGTTTGAAATGGGGGACGTTAGTTGGGACTGGGAGGACTTTGTAGTGATCTTTACCGTAGCTCCGCTCGACCTCATGTCCGCCTTTGGACGTCTCGGTTTTTGCCTACTATGTCAATGAATCATGTCTTTGATCTACTCTATTTTCCAACTTGGCTAAACAGCAGCCCACACGCAGAACTCAATGTTCATCACAATTGACTGCAAACACTTTGTCGTTGACAAAATCTGCGTTAGCGACCGGATCTTCTCAAACCGAGCGGCATCATTTCGCCGGTACGAGGACAATCTGCGCGAAGGGCGACCATGGTTGAACAAACTTTTATCCGAGTATATAGCCACGGCGACGGCTTAACGTTTCAATCGTTCTTTCCTTGTGTACTGAAATCGTTCCATCTTTGGGAAAACAAAAGCCATGGCGGCAAATCCTGGAAAGGAGTCCAGCAGTCATCGTATGGAATGATCTTATGATGATACAGGCTGAGACTCGAATCCGCGGCCCCGAAAAGAATTATGCCTCCGGTTCCACTCTGCCAGAGCGTACATTCTTGAATGAAGACGATCAGCGCTGTCTTGGAGACAGCACTTACGTAAACCTTTTTTCGTTCAGGGATCTCAGCGAAGGTTGCGCTCGATGAGAGAGGTCCTCGAAAAGCTACCTGTTTTTCAGGGAACACTCCAGAGAGAGAACTCTCGAATTCCGCATCATCAAATGAGCCATCCACCTGCCAGCATGGTAAAAGGCGCAATTTAATCCAGCTAGGTTGACACTACGGCGCAAGATTTCGTTGTTGGAGGTGAAGGCTGTAAGCGTTGGCGATGCCTCCTAAACTTTCCGATTCCACTGACTTTACCGATCGTTTCGTATCTTCAATCAGGACTCCCACGACTGCTGGGCAGACGTTGACTATGGAATGGCACGATACAGTGAGCGAAGCAAGGGATGGCGCTCAATGATCAGAACAGGCCCTGGAGGACTTGTTGGGCAATCTCTAACCCGAAGTTGAATAGGGTCAATTCTAAACCGCAGCCGAAAAATTTGTCGGCAATGAGACTTGGAGACGGAAAAGAGGGGGCATCGGTGACGGGAACAGCGGTACATTGTGAAGAAGGCAATGTTATAGGCTGAGCGAGAACTTCTGAGAGAGGAAAGGGACGTTACGAGGGCGGCCAAAGAGATTGGAACCCTGAGCCAATGAGAGGAGGACATATCAAGATCGACAAGAGGCTATGTGAATACAGGAGGAGCATTACCATGGAGACAGTAGGTGACATGTTTAGCATCTTGCCCAATGCTACAAAGGAGACCGAGGATGAAGTCGAGAAATTCAAAAACATATTTGTGGAAACATGCAAGACGGTTGAAAAGCTAGACGGAAGCTAGACCTGAGCGAGGGAGAACCATGACCGTCTCTGCGAGGAATCACACAGGGTAGACAGTGGTCAACGAGAGGGAAGATACCTTGGCTGGTTAGCGATCCTCGATGCTCTAGACTTGCAGGCTCTGGGCTCTATATTCGTACAATAACCTATCAAATTACTTTCCAACATTCGTAAACCGCAAGTATGGCTTCACTACCCTAACCTCCCCAAATTTCTTCCTCGCATCCTCCGTGGATACGCTTGGCGGTACAATAACATCATCGCCAGGTATCCAGTCAATTGGTGTCGTGACACCCTTCCCATCGCCAGTTTGCAACGAATCGATCACCCGTAGTACTTCACTTGTATTCCTGCCCGTGCTGGCCGGGTACATCATTGTCAACCTAATCTTCTTCTGGGGATCGATCACAAAGACGCTCCTTATAGTAAACGCGATACCCTTCTCGTCTTTGTTCGTCACGTCTTGGGCGTCAACCATGTCGTATGTATATGCTATCTTGCGATCGGCATCTGCGATTATGGGGAACTGCAACTTGGTCTTGGATGTCTCGTTAATGTCGGCAATCCAGCGGCCGTGGGAAGAGAGGTCGTTGACGGAGAGTCCAATCATCTTCACACCTCTTCTGTCAAACTCGGGCTTCAGTTTCGCAAAAGCTCCAAGCTCCGTGGTGCAGACTGGGGTGAAGTCTGCTGGGTGAGAGAATAAGATGGCCCACTTTCCGCCGAGCCATGAGTGGAAGTCAATATCACCCTGTGTAGTTTTGGCGGAGAAATTGGGGGCTATGCTTCCTAACCGTAACCGTGGTTGCTCCTCGGTGGCTGTTGCAAGTCCTCGGCGGAGGAAGGGGGAGGTAGAGGGACGAGTAGCGCGAAGGGAAAAGTTCAGAGCTGTCAAAGACCGGGGAGCTGAGCGAGTAAGGGATGATGCCATTGTGACTGATGTGTCTGGTACAGACACAGTATTTGACCGTATTTGATATATGGAGTGATGCTGGGGAAGATTTAAAAAGTTTGACGCTTAGAAATCTATCCTCGATGGCGTAATGCGGAATTCGCTCCGACAATTCTTGGCGACGGTCTTGGCAACGGTCTCTAAGTATACTTCTTCCTACCTCCAGAGTAACCCTGTGAATGTTCCTGAATCTGTTACTGGCGTATGATAAATTTCACACACGTGCTGCTTCGCTTGTCTCCAAGTTTGCACAAACAAGTTTTTGCCTACAACAGTACTCTTTCCCTCTCTCTCTCTTTCTCCTCTCCTCCCTGTTCTTCTCGTCATCGAATCGTTTACAAAGTATCAGAACAATCTGCATCATTAAGGTATCCCAAGAATCCAATACCATAAACAGGTGTCCAAGGAAGCGCCAAGCTTCACAGGGTGCTGTTGCTTCGAGCTAGATTTCCCGGATATACTGCACTTCGCTCATACAGATTTTCCAATCCTTCTCCGATAACCTCAGATTAGCCAAACAAATCTCTCGCAGCCTCACCAGCAATTTGCGCCTCATCAACCATGCCTTCCTCCAGCAAACAGCCCAGCAGCTCAACCAGCAAATCTACCTCGGCAACCAGCCAGTCGGGCAAAGGAGCAGGGAGTCAAGGAGGCACGGGCGTTTCTCCAAACTTCGCCCACAGCTACGGCTTGAAGTTTCACGACCCGAAGGATTATGCGGAGGCTCAGGCTATTCAGCAAGCGTTTAGGGATCAGGATGCGAAGCAGGGCGGACGTTGAACAAAGGCACCATGGATATGCGGCTTTTGGTGATCAGTGACGTCTCATGGTGGGCTCGGCGGCATGAGGGAGGAGATGTTGTTGAATTGGCAAAGTAGGAAGACGCTGAGGACTTTGGTTGATACATTCGCTGTACAACCAGTCAATAGCAAAGAAAGCCATTCTCTCATGATCCCGGTCTGGGTTCACGCTCGTCTTCGACTCCTAATCTAAAACATTTGCATGCTCTGCGTATAAACATAATTCGTAACCCTTATACACATTATCTCCCCTCCTCGAGCCTCGAGCCTTGACCCTCCTCAATCCTCCACAATCCATACACCCAATATGTACAAACCCTTCCACTTATCCTCGCCTACTCCTCCCCCAAACTCGCCCTTACATTCGCCCTACATCTCTTCCTAAATTCTTTCGTATCCTCTCTCCATAACCTCGCCGCCTCCACATTCGCCGGACTCTCATCGTTCGGACTACTCAGCATACTGATCACGCTCAAGAGTATTGTTTCGGGCGTTTGAACCGGCGACCACCGTTCACTGGCAGACTCGTACCCGTATGGATCGTTGGCAGGCGCATGGAGGATCGAGATGCAAACGTCGCCGGAGGGATAGACTGTGTAGGACAGCACGGCTCAGCAGGGACTTCAGTAGTGATGAAATACGACATACCGTTTGGGTGGAATATCGGTGTCTGGAACGTCATCTTGGGTGGCAGATGTGGGTATTCGGGTGGAAATATAAGATGGGCGCGGTAAAATCCTCCTGTATCTCTTCCATCAGCCTTCCCCCTTACTCTTTCAACAGCAATATTCCGGTACGTACCGCCGTAGTACTTGCAGTCGTCAGAAATCATAAGCATGACCTCCCACTCGAAGACGTTACTCCCAATGAGACCGCAACTTATGCCGGGAATGTCCTTATCGCTTTGCATCAACTTGAGCTGGCGACTCAAGAGCCCGGAGGCTGCTGAGCTCACCATGGCCGTATGTTCGGAGCCCAGTGAGATCGCGTTGAGGAGTTCAGCACCGGATTGAGAGGTTGATGGGGCATCATGCTCAAAGTAAGACAAGGAAGCGTCGGACCGAGATGCAGACTCGGGGGTTCGTCGGTTGCGCTAAATTCATGCCAGTATACCCCTATATTCTTAATCATTGGGAAACTAGAAAATTAGCATTCGGGCTAGCACCCCCCCCACCCAAAATCGTACTATAGACATGCCTATTATATTATCGCTTTCACTAATCTCTCTATACCTCGCTGTCGCTAAATACAGCTACTAATATACGGAATAAGCGGCCCTTTAATAGATTTGATAAGGAGGTCGTTGTAATCGTCGTTGACGCTATTAAAGGGGGGCGTAAATTGAAGAAATCTATTTTAAAATCTAAGTTGATAAAGAAATCCTCTCTTCTTATCGATAAGTCTAATAAAATCGAATAAAGCCCTTCTTTTATCGTTTAATTTTAGTTTATTAATTCTTCTATAAAATTATTAACCTATTCTATTAATACGAGTATTCTATAAAAAAAGAAGAAGATATAAGCTTATTCTACTATTTTTAAACGATTTAATTTTCATAAATTTAATTTAATCGCTATTTAAGAGGTTAAATAGAAGATAAAAAAGAAAGACTATAGAGTAATTCTTAAGAGCGCTATTATTACGCTCTTATTCTTAAAAAATATTAAGACTATAAATAGTTAATACGATAATATTACTAAGTAAAAAGATATTAATAATCTAGCGAGATAATAACTAGTTAAGAAAAAGAGAAAGAGAATTATTATAAGAATTATATATATCTATAATTCTAAAGAAGACTTCTCTAAATTAGAATTCTTTACTATGAAAGAGCCTTTCTCGAAAAAATAAAAGAAGATTAATAAGATTATCGATGATAACTCTTTTTTAGATAACTTTATTATTATATCGAATAATTTTAAATTATTTAAATCTAATAAGAAGAAGAAATAGAAGAAAAAGATTAAGATGTCTAAATCTAATAATACTATTATTAAGTAAATACTATATATAAAAAAGGCGAAGAAATTAAAAAGAAAGCTTAAATTCGAAGATTATAAGATTATAAAGCTATAACTATATTTAAAACCTAACTATTAAGAAAGAATATATTATTATTAATAATTAGATAATCTTGATAATACTTATTATTTACTCGATAGTAATTAAATTATTAAATAAAATAAGGCTATAGCGAAGTAGAAATATAATATTAATATCGAAAACTCGTTTATATAAATATAGAAGCGAATAAAGTCTTAATAAGATTGAGTTATAAAGATAAAGACTATTAATAAAAAGATTAAGTCGATTAAGAAGAAAATTTATATGATTATTAATTTTTCTATTTCTACTCTTACTATTACTCTAATATTAATTAATATATTACTTAATAAATTAAATATCTTACTCTTATTGATGTAAGACTTTTAATAATAATAGTATAATATATATTAATAGTAGTATAATCTATATTAATAGTAATAAGTTTAAAACTACTCGCTTTATTAGCTAATACTTTAATAGTCTTAATATTTTCTCTTATAGTAATATGTGTATATTTAGACTTAATCTATTTAGTCTTATCTATCTAATTTAATTAAGCTACTATCTTATTTAAATATAGTTAATTAATTACTCTTTAAAGTATCTTAATTATCGAGTAATTTGATTTAAGTAAAGAATAATATAGATAAACTATAAAGGGCTTATTTTATCTAATAAATTTAGAGAAATTTAAGTAAGAAAGCGATTTTTATAGACGCTTTAGAAAAGATTAAAGTAGAGTTATATATACTAAAGTAAATATATTAGATATCGCCTTCTAATTAAAAAGAGATAGAGATTTTAAGAGAAATAATTATACGATTAAAGAATAAGATAAAGAACTTTATAAAGATACTATAATTTCGTATTATTACCTTTACTACTAGATTTATTAATTATTAACTATATATTACTTTAAATGTCTTCGTTATTATTACTCTATTAGAAAATAAGATTATTAATAAGAATAGTGATAAGAAGAGAGAGAAGAGGGAGAAGGAAGTCTAAATAGTTATATATCGGAGTTTAGAAAATAAGATTCGATAATCGATAATTAGTGTTAGGCCTATCGTTGTTATATAAATCTCGAATATTTAATATATTTAAAATTAATTAATAATTATCTATTTAAATAATCTAAATAGTATAAAATTATAAGTTAAATATAGATTAAAATATAAAAAAAAAATCTCGAGAAACGATTATATTTTGATATAAAAATATTAGATATAAGGGTTTTTTCTTTATATTACGCTAAGATATGACTTAAAACTCTATCTTTAGACTTTCTCGTTATTCGAATAATAGCCTTTATCTTTTTTATATAACTTCTCTTCTTTCTCTTTATAATTATCTATTAATATATTAATATATATAAAGTAAGTTTTAATATAAATTCTTATACTATAAGTCTATATAGCTAGCTTTAAGTATTATCTAAATAATATATTCTTTATTAATTTAAAATATCTTTTTAGCTAGACTTTAAAAATTGAAAAGAACTTTTTAATAGAGTTAAAATTTGATAAATATAAGAATAAATATAAGATTATAATGTCTTACTTTTTATAAAGTCTTCTAATATTAATAGTATAATATATAAAGTAATTATTTATAATAAGAATTGATTTTACATTAGAGAATAGATTATAGCGAGAGAGAACTTCGTTTTTAAGAAATTACTCGAATTGAGTATTATTAATATTACCTTAATAAATATAATAATAAAAAATATTATTTAAGTAATATGTCGATAAAACGCTATATCGCTTAGAATATTTAATAGAAATTTATATCGCTAGCCGAATTTTAAAGATTATATAATCTCGCTTTCTTTATATTATATACTTATTAATAACGCTTTTATTTAAAAAGATAAATATATTATATATAAATTTATTAATCTCTAGAAAGTATATATTATAATAAATCTATAAGCGTTCTAAGATCTTATAATGAAAGCTTTTTCTATTAATCTTTATAGAGTATAAAATCTTTAAAATTATAGACTAATTAATAAGTAGATTAAATCGATTAAATAGATTATATTATATCTTATTCTAATATATTTATAACTTACTCTTAATAAAAACTCTTAATTTAATTCTTATAGTCGAAAAAATCGCGAATAATTATTCTCTCTTAATTATGTGAGATATAATATAAGTATTAAATGTAAGAAGATTATCGATAATACGATATATAATACTCTTTTTAATATCTTTAACGAAAATAATAGAGGCGATAGTAAGCTTATTAAGGATATACTATTAAATATAATTCTTATAAATATTGAATAGTGAAGAAAACGATATTTTAAAATCTTTTATACGTTAGCAAGAGGCCTAAAAAAAGAAATATTAAGTATTCTATATATACGAGTAATTCTAGTCTCAACTTGACGATATAGATGGTTATAAGAATAATAATATGATAAGCATGTCTATAGTACGATTTTAGGTGGGGGGGGTGCTAGCCCGAATGCTAATTTTCTAGTTTCCCAATGATTAAGAATATAGGGGTACCTAGCTGCTTTCCATTAAGCAAGGGATCGAAAGGATATGATAAGGAGCGCTTTTCATAAATACGACACAGGATTTCGCTGTTAGTGTTCAAGCGGAATCTCAGATGGAGCACTTCTCAATAGAAACAATGAGCCATCGTCCTGATCGATCACCTTTTCTGGTATTGCTACATCCACAACGCTCCATTCACAATGACCTCCCTTACCCCGAATCCCACACCCTTCCAAGCATGGCTCATCTCCCGCAATGCAGAAACGCTCCTTGTGCACTCGGCTGTAGAGATCGAGTATATGATCAAAGACCCAAGAGACCATCACATCGAATATCCTCTACCCGATAATTACATCTCCTTGCTCAAAAACAGCTGCAAACGCTCACTATAGCACTATTCACTTTAGACTCCGTTGATGGACCGATGCTGGCGCGATACGCTGGTTTCCTCTGACGAACACGGAAGCGGTACAGCTACTCTTCAGCTGAGAAAGGATCTGGGACCCCATCTTCTGGGTTCACGAGGGAACGGAGGAACAGGAGGAGCCTTTGTTCGGCGCTTGTGTGTATTGGCCAGAGTTGAAAGAGGCCCTTGGGTATGAGGTTTGGACTGATGAGCAGTCGGCCGAGTGGAAGCTGAAGAGCGGGTTATGGTGCCCAGTTCACGGATAGCTCATCACGAGAAGCCGACTGAATTTGCTTTGCGTTATCCATAAATAAAGATTAAAATACAAGTATGCCCTCAAGATTGAGACTAAGGTGTGAATGCTGCGGGCCTGACAAAGCAACTCCGTCGAAAAATGGAAGACTGTCCAATGCTAGCTATACAAGACATTAATTCCACCAGACATTATGACCACTCTGAAACTAATCACATGCACTTTGATTGCCAAAACAAGAATGGGTATCTTGTCAAACTAAGGAGTCATGACACATGATGATCGCAGCGATTCCTCCGTTACTCCTAGATTAGCACACGTCTCAAGACTAATCCCATCACGAAAGCGCTAACGAAAGCTGAAATATTTGGCATCAGGGCGGTTCCAAAGCTCTTCCTGGTTGCGGAAGCTGCAAGTCTTGTTGTAACAGTGGTAACCTCTGGTGCAACGGTGCTTCCTGGCACGGTAGTCAAAGCCTCGGCCATAACAGACCCAACGGTACTGCCGCCCGTAATTGTCAAGGCTGAGATTGTAGTCGAGATGACGGAAGGCGAAACCGTTGTGCCAGGTATCGTGGTGGTATATGTGACCTCTTGACCTAATGCCGTTACCGGTATGGCACTACCAACTCCTGAGGCAGTGTCTTGTGTAGGCAGCGTCAGAGTCGCAGTGTTTGGAGGAGTCGCGGGCGTGCCGTAGATATTGCCTGATGATCCGTCCCCCAGTGTGTAGTTTCCCGTGAGCAGATTGGCTATAGAGCCGTCGGTCGAGGTGTAAGAGCCGTCATGGACTTGACCGTAGGATCCGCCAGGGAGAAAGAAGTTCGTGGTATAGTTATCCTAACAGATCAGCAATTGAAAGGCAAGAGGTTCAGTCGTGTGCTGCTTACATAGCAAAAGGAAAGCTCGAAGTCCTGGAGAAGAAGACAGATAGTTCCATCGGCACCTGCAATGAGGGTCAGTACCAACTATGTTGGTCCGGACACCGGACGCTTACAGCACAGACCGCCTCCTGATGCGCGGGTCTCAATCGCGCAAGTGTCTTGCCCAGCCTCTCGCTTTGCTAGATTAGCGCTATCGAGGGTGTCCACGACATCGACAAAGAGAGAAGAAATTCCAGTGCCAATCGGAGGTTCATTTGTTGTAGCGGCGCCTTTGGGGCTGCATACAGTGTAACTGCTGCTGCAAGCGCCTCTGGCATGCAAAGTGTCATCGCATGCGATAACGTGGGCGTAGGAGAGGAGAAGCAAAATGAACGTGGTTGATGGAAGCATCATGAAAGCGAAATTGGTTGATGGATTGGATCGAGGTCGGTGCACAAACAAATTAATGGAAGTGTGGAGGTTGTAGAAGCTTGGGCACTGAAGACGGAAGTATTTCAAAGAGTGTGTGTCCTATCACAAGTGTCGAGGCGCAAGGTACAGATGCGCCGTCGCAGGAGGGACATAGATAGTAAACCCAGCGGCGCATAAGGGCGGCAATTTTGCAGCCACCGAGCCAATCCCGTCTTCCGACACGGTTTTGTGGGGGAATGGTCTTATCTATATTTATTTCCATTATTTGGTCTGGTCTTCGATCCACGAATACATCCGACGTCTCATCTACGAGCACATCTAGAGAATGTGGAAGGTGGATAATCGTCAGCCTACGACGATAAGATCCAAATCTCAACTAGAACCCTGGATTTCCCCACAGAAAGGGACGCTAAGAGACAAGCTTAAATCTATTTGGGGACCAGCATTCTGTTCCTATCGCATCTTGCCGCTGTAAAGAACTCACGCCCGAGGTCTACTGAGAGAGCCTCAAGCTATCTATGAAACCAATAGCAAGATGATATAAAGTCAACCCTGGCTCAGAAGGAGACTCGTTTGCGAAAAGTCGAAAAATGTCGTCTTCTATGACCTTCACCCTCATTTACTGGTTAGCAGGTAAGAGGGTCCTTCTCTCGCACACGCAAGGAGCTGGAGAGGTCTCCAAGCCAAAGATCGCGCCATTGAAGGTCGGCCCAAATTGCCAGAGTTACCAGCTTCCGAAAGTTCCCTTAGTGTCTCCACCGAATCCAGACGAGTGCTACTCGTACAAAGAATCTCAATGCTAAGGCCAAAGCAATGTCAAATATGATTCACGGATTTCTTAAAAAATGATCGGATGTATGCTGTTGCCTCTGGATACCCTAGCAATAGGTCACTAGAGCCTTGCGCTGCCGTAGGGTATCCCATTCGTCAATCGTCAATCTCATCAAAACGATGTGCCCTTTACGCCTTGCTGTACTTTGGCCCCTTGGCCCCCAACATCGAAACCGGTTGAGTTCCGTCATGCATGCATGGGTTATAAGGCTTCTCTGCGGAAAAGGTGCCCCTTTGATGGGCCTAAGACTGACCTTATGGATGGTACCGCGCTAAAGCAGTCCCGCAGTACACGCCCCAAGAGATCCTTATTGGGAGGCTTCCGAGGTCAGCCAGTCTATAGTCCCCACCACTGCCTCTAAAGCCCCTTCCCAAGGTCACGTTAGGTGTCGCTATCATCACCACAAGCGACAGTGCAAATGAGGGTAAATGTGCAAATGGGGGTGGAAACGAGTAGCGCAAAGCGCTAACCTCATGCGCTTAGCAAGGCTTGGCAGATTGTAGAACAAGGACCTCGCTAAGGCGGATTCGCAATGTGATTCGAGATGATACTGATCATCTAGAAAGTCAGAATTGCATTTCTCTTGAGCATTTCAAAAGCATCGGCTTCATTAAAGGAAGACATTAATGACATTAATGACATTAATGCCTCAATATTGGCGGAGAAGTTCGCCTCGGAAAGGCGGGATAAATACAGAGGTCTGCACCGAAAGTCCTGCACCCGCCAAGACTCTTGCGCTCAGACTTCGGATAACGCCCCACCTAAAGGGTTACCTAGACAATACGTCTGGAGTTCTTCGGAATCGCACCTAGCCCTAGCCAGGTTTCGGGGCTTACTGCCCCTATCAAGGCTAAAAGAAGTACCTTAAGTCTCATCATGCGCTGTGAGAAGATATTTTTAGGCTTCCCCTCTACAGGGCCGCTTTCCGAAAGTAGGGTTAGGGCTGCACTAGTGCGGGTGCAGGACTTTCGGTGCAGACCTCTGTACTCGTGCTGTCCAGAAGTGAGTTCTTTGATAGAGCGAGGACACCAATAAATCCTTCCACTTAGCCGAATATCGGTTAATCTATTGGTGTCCTCGCTCTATCAAAGAACTCACTTCTGGACAGCACGAGTACATTCGGTATTGATCGGTGGTGCTAGGTATCAGCCGCACACTAAAAATGTCAGAAAATCAATAAAGAGACGTGACTTTGAATTTCATCAGTTGATTTGTTTGATTTGTTTGATTTGTTTGATTGGAATTCAATTTTGGCTGATTCTTCTTCTCTTCCTGTTGTAACTTGTAAAGCTTTTTCATGGAGTTGCTCCCTGTCGCGCAATCAAAGGACCAAGGAAGAGAACAACAACATGAGGACGATGCATCCACCACAAATCTGCTCGCCCCTCCACGCCCTCAGTCTCAGCGCTTTCATTCTCACGACCATCAGTCTTCGCACTCCAACCGCTCTCAACCACCAAGACTGTGGCAAATATCCTGGTGGCTTCTCACCATAGTCCTGAGCGCTTTCATTCTTGCCACGGTCAAGATCTACCATTCTCAGGGGAACTTTGACTCTGCGCAGAAGCATGTCTTCAATACCATTACCACGGCTTTGATTCTAGCTTTGGGTCTGAATTTCTTCGTAAGCCATCAAGCTCGCGCCCTCAGCGATATGCAGTCAGACTCATCTATGTCTGGCTTGGCAGGAAGCATTCAAGTCCTTAGCTAAAGGCTACAAATGGAAAATATTAGAGCAGGCACATTACCCTCGTCAAGAGAAGGGATTGATTTCCAACATCGAGAACCTGACTGATGTGCTGGTCCTTGGCTGGGAATCTCTCGTAAAGCCTTACAGGAAGCCCTGGACGGCACTGTTATGCATCGCATGGGTGAGAACGCCCCCAAAGTTACTCACACATTTGTTTAACATTCTCTCATCGAGAATCTGTCATCGTGGCTTGTTTACTCAAGATGCTCTCAAATGTTTTCTCCTCCTAACGCTCACTGATTTACGCCCTAGATTGCCATCAACATTGTAAGCTTGCCTTTTGTATTCGCATCTGCTTAGCTTACGGAGGTCTTCTTTAAGCTCGCGCAAGTTTCAGTCGCAATGATCAGTCTGACATACAGCGTCGTGGATGGCACAAGCTGGAACAATACGTATACAAGACCCGGTGTCGCCAGTGCATCCAATTTGAAATGCTACGCTTTCGGTCCCAAAGGTCGTTGTGGTGAAGGCAACCAAGCTCGGGCCCATGCGTATGGAGATATGGCTTTGGCATTCCCTTGCGGCGCCTACAACGATACCTCACAGATATTAACGTCCCGACAAAACTCCCGCTATTATTGCAGACGGACCCGTCATCAACAGGAATTTGCATATCGCTTCAACGAGTATAATCTTAATGATACGCAGCAAGCATACCCAAGATTTACTCAACGAATCGTCACAGCCTCGGCTGGACAATGTTTCAACTATACAATGGTCGGTGATCCTCGTGATCTACCGGATGGCAATGTCTTCTACGAGTATAGCAATGGCACCTTCAGTAGCAACATTACAATCCCTGGTCAAAGTGGCGCTTGGGATGGTACTACGTATATCTACAGAGGATCCGAACCTCCAGAAGAAGCGGAGCTATATGCATGCGGCCCTCGGTGTTTATGGATGTGGGCCCACAAATCCCGCGGTCATGGCGAGCCATCTACGTTCTACCAGTGTCCCATCACCGTAAACCCAGTGAGCAATACATCGAACGATACACAGCAAATCTCAGACGGCATAGCCCGTCTCGCAGCCGCGTCAATCGCAATACAAGGTCGCCCCATCAACGCAAACGTCTCGAGAGAATATCAACTCTATGCCTTTGGGTAATTGCAACTCTCTCATGATCCTCCTAGGGCGGAAAATGGAGCGCTGACTCTCTCTTCCAGGTCTCACTGGGAGGTGCACTTCAAAGAACCCGACCAGGTCGGCGCGAACATGGCCGAGTTCGCAATCGGATCCATCTCCACGATGGCGTGGACGAATCCTCGAATTCCAGTCAAAGGCTTGGTGCCTTACCTCGGCAGTCACGTCGAAGTGAATTGGTATTACCTTATACCACTGGTTGCCGGCATCAACGGCGCCCACCTAGCGCTCTTCATGTTAAACATTTACGCTACATAGCTGAACTGCAACATATGTACCGAAAGAGCCGGCGTGAAGGTCAGTACGCAGGTACCTATCCCTGCGGGTGCGTTTAATATCTCTAGAAAAACGCGATTAATTATAAAGATAAAGAAAAAAGTTCTTATGTAACTTTACGTATTTTTTAAATTATTTTAATAATATAATTATAGAAATGAAAGTATAAATAAATAAATCGAGTACGTTTTATTAAAAGAATAATCGATAATTTTATTTATTTAATTAAATATATAATTAATAATTATAATATAAAAAAAAATTAATTTAATAGAATAGAGTTAATAGCTACTTCGTAATTATAATTAATATTATAATATACGTAATATATAAAATATAAATATTTCATATCGATCTATATATTAAAGAAAAACAGGATTGAATAAAAAGGGTTTGCCTTAAATGGAACACCGTATTAGCCTTCCTCCGCCGTAGTGACGGGGAATCTTCGGGGAGCGGATAAGTTTAAAAAAAATCTGTTATATTTAAGCGATTTACACCGCTGCAGGTTCCGCTCAAAGAATTTCAGTCACGTGTGCCATTCTTTGCCAATCCATCCTAATGACATGGCCGCATGATTACGATACTCATTAATCTCGAACACGCATCAGCCTGGGGAAAGGATAGATCAAAATGGCTTCGAAGATTGAGCGATATCGCGTTTTACTCGTTGGCTCTGGAGGTCGAGAGCATGGTAAGTCAGTCCATCTCATCACTTTCCGGCTTGGCTTCGTGGTCTGTTCTGCTCCATGAAACGGCAGTAGGGTGCCCAAAGTCATGTCAGGCGCTGAACGCTTCAACACTTTGACGACTTCGCTACGGATGGGGACTAGTCCCACTACTCAACGCTTTTCATCGTTTCTTAATAGTAAGCAGCAATGGCGTGACTTTGGGCATTTCCCTGTGGAGGCCGTGGGATCTATGCTGCTCACCGCTTCCTTTGGCGATTTGACATTTTGTCGATGGGCTTTTTGTAGTCAATCCACCAAATGATTATTCGGTGTGTCGTATTGTCCGCCAGAGGCAGATTGACTTTCACGATTGAACTGTGGTTGTGTTACAATCTTCTACTCTGGTTCTTTGTATGCGTCATCTGACAAAACAATGACGATTAGCAATTGCCTGGAAGTTGGCGCAATCACCCCTACTGGAGAAAACCTACGCATCACCCGGGAACCCTGGCATTGCAAAAGAGCCGAAGACAGAGATCGTTCCAAAGAGCGAAGTAAGCCCCGACGACTTCCCAGCGCTTGTAAGGTTCGCTACGGACAAGTCCATCAACCTGGTGGTAGTTGGCCCAGAGGTGCCAATCTGCAATGGCATCGCGGATTACTTTCGCGCTGTGGGCATCAGATGCTTTGCGCCATCGATACGGGCAGCCCGGCTGGAAGGTTCGAAAGCCTTTTCGAAAAATTTCATGATCAAGAACTCGATCCCGACAGCAAAGTTCCAGACGCACAACGACTATGAAAGTGCCAAGATGTATCTTGATGAGGTAAATTTTCGAACCTGCCTAAAAGCAAGTGGCCTCGCTGCGGGTAAAGGAGTCCTGCTGCCATCGACGAAAGAAGAGGCTCACGAAGGACTCAAGGTAATTGAATTTCCGTGTCTTTTTTCCGCTTTCCGGGATGCATTTCTTAAATCTATCACAATGTAACAATGCTGATCTCGAAAATTAGGATCTGATGATCGAAAAAAAATTCGGTGGAGCTGGCAACGAAGTTAGTGGTGCCTTTTCTTCCCTTTTCGGACCCCTTGCCCCAAAATTCTATCCCAAAGTAGCAATACTGACTTCGGCAACTACTAGGTAGTCATCGAACAGTACCTTTCAGGGCACGAAGTTTCTATCATCAGCTTCTGTGATGCATATACGATCAAGAGTCTTCCCGTGGGGCAGGATCATAAAGCAGCGGGCGATGGAGATAGTGGACCCAATACGGGTGGTAGGTTATTTCTTCAACACTATCGCCATCCTTTTCAACTGTCTTTTGGAGCTATGAATCATGTCTCAGAAGCGTAAGCTCTAAAGATCTGCACCACTGGCCCATCCTCTAATCCCCAAATCTATATACTGACTCCGCTTGAAGGAATGGGAGTCTACTCTCCATTGCCAAAGTCAATCATTTCTGACGCTCTGCTCACGAAAATACACGAGACGATACTTCAGCCAACTATCGACGTAGGTCTTCGGAATCCCCTTTCTCCATTCCGTGGCCTAAAGATGGGTTCTGCGACATGTCTCGGAAGTAGAAGCTCCGTAGACATGATTCACGACTCTTTTGAACCCTTTAGAAAGTATTCATTGACGCCGAAGTCTTCTGCAGGCTCTTAGAAGAGAACGCATGCCCTTTTGCGGCTGGTTGTTTACTGGTTTGATGCTTGGTGACAATGGAGAAATCAACGTCCTTGAATATAATACGAGGGGTAGGCGTTCGATTTAAGTCCTGAACAGCCAGTGCTTACTTTTCGAACGCAGGCGGTGATCCCGAAATCGAGACTCTACTCCCTTTGATGGAGTCAGATCTTCTAGAGGTTATGGTTGCATGTACCGATAATTACCTTGACACTGTCGATGTTAAATGCAGCAATGCTACGGCAGTGACTGTCATAGCCGCAGCCTCGGGGTACCCTGGCCCTTTTGCAAAAAACGACCTTATATCCATTGATCATAGCGGTAAGCTGAAATTCCCTTTTTTGAATATGAAGTGTGATTCGTTTTTGTTAGAAGGTTTCAACTCTACAAAGGCGAATCTACGCTCTCCTATCAAAAGTCCCTGGGCATTAAACACTAAGTAGGTCTCATCAGTACTAACATTCCAATAAGCAATCAATCCCGAGACCGACCACATATTCTACGCCGGCACCACTCGTGACTCCGCTGGCCAACTCCTGACATCCGGCGGCCGCGTCTTCGCAGCCACAAGCACCGGCCCCACCCTCGAAGCCGCCCTCCAATCCGCCTATAAACTCATATCCTCCATCACCTTCAAAGGCATGCACTATCGTACCGACATCGGCCACAAAGCCCTCCCCCACCTCAAAAACACCACCACCACCGCCAAAGACGTCCTTTCCGTCTACGCCTCCGCCGGCGTCTCCATCGAAGCCGGCAATACCCTGGTCAAACAAATCTCTGGGTACGTGAGATCAACAGACCGGCCAGGCGCATCAACAGAGGTAAGTGTTTTCCGAGTTACATTTCCATGTTCTTTGGCCAGACTCGAGCTTTTCTACCAAGCAAGTGTCTAAAGTTATACCGGTCACCGTGGGCTATCTCGGATTGACGTGAAAGAATTGGATTGTCCGGCCATTGTAATTCCACGCTTACATCGTCGAATCCGCGAAGCAAGCAGGTGCAGTTCTGGTTAATCCCTTTGTGGTGCTGCGACATGTCTCGGTGTAGGGATCCTTAAAAGAGCAATGCTAACACTCCTCTATAGCTAGGTGGTTTCGGAGCGATGTTCGATCTCGAAGCTGCCGGCTACACCACTCCACCAACACTCGTAGTAAGCTCCGATGGCGTGGGCACGAAGCTTTTGATCGCGCAAGCGGTGGGAAAGCACGATACCATAGGGCAAGATTTAGCAGCAATGCTATATAACGATATAATCTGTCAGGGCGCCGAGGTGCGTTTCCTTATCTACTTTTCCTCGCGGTGGACAGAATACTCGGGATGCCAAGACGAGGTTTGATCAATCGCACCCAGGCGTGATGGTCGCTTTTGCTCGCTTTGATGGCTCCACGTTTGAGCAGTGGGCTTTTACGGCTTGGCTAGCCCGTTGACTTAACGTCATTCCGTGACAGCAACGCGATGACCAGCGTGGCGATGGCATCGCGACAATCGTGTCTACAGCGCTCCATCTTCTCTTGTTGTTTGGTGAGGTGCTCGTACTGACATGCTGCAGCCCCTCATGATGGCAGACATCTACTCTTGCGCCCACCTCGACATCTCCACCGCCGCCTCCGTCATCCGTGGGATCTGCGCCGCGTGCAAACTCGCAAACTGCGCCCTCGTGGGTGGTGAAACCGCCGAAATCCGCGGCATAATCAAAGACGGCGTTTACGACGTCTGCGGCACGGCGATTGGAGCAATTAGGGAGGGGGATAAGATGCTGCCGTTGAAAGATGAGATGAGAGCCGGAGATATTCTCGTGGGCTTGGCGAGTAGTGGGTGCCATAGCAATGGCTTCAGCTTGATACGGAAGATTGTTGAGGGACAGGGGCTGAGGTATAGTGATCCGGCGCCGTGGGAGCAGGGGAGTGGGAGGAGCGTGGGCGAGGCGCTGCTGGAGCCGACGAGGATTTATGTGCGGAGCGTGCTTGGGGTTGTCAAGAACGGATTGATCAAAGGTACGCGGAAGTCTTCCAAGCGTTAGCGATGCTATCATCATCAGTCATCGAGATGATGATGAAAACTTTGATGGCTTCACGGTTTAGCAGAGGACGGCCACGAGTTGAATGGCCCAATGGCTTCACGTCATTTGTTAAGACTAACATGGCAAATCAGGAGCTGCGCATATCACGGGCGGTGGCCTTCTCGAAAACATCCCCCGAATGCACGACAAGAACCTTGCCTCAGAGCTTGACGCTGCGACATGGCCAATCCCTAGCGTCTTCAAATGGCTCAAGAAAGCAGGGAGCATGGACAATGACGAGTTTGCAAGGTACGTCAAAACACTGTTAGGGGTGCCGAAAGTCATGCGCCTTCCTATCTTACTCGCTTCCACGATTTGACGTTTTGGCCATGCGTGTCCATTGGGTTTGCAGTCCAACGGCTTTTGGTCAATTTGTAGTTGGGACTTCTACTGACTGCGCTATCTCTAATCAGGGTGTTCAACACCGGCCTCGGCATGGTGCTCATTGTTTCTCCAGAAAGCCAAGACGAGGTCCTCGAAGATCTGGAAATGGCTGGTGAGACAGTATATGTAGTTGGCAAAATGGTGGAGAGGGCGGAAGGAGAAGGCTGTGTCATTCAAGGGATGGAGATATGGGATCAGTAAAGGATTAATACTATTAAATTATTAGGGTGCCAAAGCTCTGGAACTCCTTGGTCATATGCCTACATTCCACTTGGACGTTTTGACGGGTTGACGGTGGATGTATCCACGGGCTAATTACTGAATCATACCCCGAAACATCAATCCCTTACAAATTCACACCCCAAACTCTTTTGCATACCCCTGGGGGGGTATGAAGTAGTAACTTGCCATGCTGTTTGGGTATGAATTTGTAAACAACTTGCAGTTCTCATATTTGATAAAATATGATATATAAAGCCTCTTGCGCCTCGAGAGTTATGATACTGTAACTTCTATATAAGTTTGTACTGTAAAGACAGAACGTTGATCTAGAATAGCGGAGTGTATTTATTACTTTTGATCTCAGAGTCTTGGCGACGACCGGAAGCCTCTGAAGGATCCTTCATCAACAGCGATTGCGCACTGCGCGCATTGGATTTGGGGGTGAAAAGAAGCCTCGGGGTGGCGTGCGGGACGTCCTGGAGGGGTATCCTGGAGGGGATGGCTTCGGGGCACATGGCGACAAACTTAGGGTTTAGCTAGGGGCGCTTCTGGGGCCTCTAGTTGATTGTATGGTTGGAACTCGGAATTCGCCGTGGCTCAGGCATCCAGTGAATGTCTTATAGGTTTCTTTGACTCGCACTGTGATTGTAGACCTAAAGCGGTCGCGTCACCCGTGTCGTGCCATTGCTCGAAGATATCCTCCGGCGGCTGGGTCCAGAAGCCAACACAATAACTGTCCAGCAGCTTCTTTGTCCGCTCCTTATCCTGTCACACCGGCCTTCAACATGCCACTACCGGAGCACGCCCTCATCGTCCACGGTGGTTGCAATTGCCGAGCAATCCGCTACCGCATCGAAATCCCACAGCTCTCCTCCCGCCCCCGCAACCCATTCTCGACTCCGGACAACCCAATCCACCTTCCCATGGTAGCCACCGACCACTGCAACGACTGCCGCACTGCCACGGGCTCCATCCTCCCAACATGGATCTGCGTCCCTGCAGAGATGATGACCGTCTCCCTGCGCCCGGCCCCTCCTCCCAACCCCACCTCCCCCAAAATCGACTCCAACGACGGCCCCTGGCGTCCCGCCATGGACGTGCTGACGGCGGGAGCCGCTATCGCTGAGGGTTCGACGCTGAGGTGTTTCGGCAGCTCGCCGAAGCGCACGAGGACGTTCTGCGGGCACTGTGGCACTAATTTGACGTATGCGATTTTCCCGATGGTGGAGGGGTTTCCGGATATCTTCGATACGGTGTTGGGGACGGTGGATCGGGAGGACTTGGAAAAGGATTGGCTGGCGCCGGACAGGCATTGTTGGTGGAGTAAGGGTGTTCCGTGGGTGCAGGCGCTCGCGCGTGACGGGTCGCAGATCCCGAGGCATCCAACGTTCAAGGTCAGCGAATTTGCAGAATGAAGAACTATCAGCTGTAGTGCCTTTTCATCACCGGGGTCTGCGTTGGATGCGAATCTTGACGAGCTTTGTGGCTGGCACTGCAGAGGTCCGTATATACTGGGACCCTCGATGTTCCATATGACTAATCAGCTCCAGGGTTGGTGAGCCACTGGCTTTCTTAAATCACTGTTGCCAGCTATATACTGGGCAGCTCACTGCAGGGTGTCTGAATCGTGGCGTGGAGCAGGCAATAATATGGGCAATGTGGAAGAAACGCATTAGTGGCCGATTGCACCGCTTATCCTCCCTCTGTGTAGTCTTTCACTACCTGAGATCGCAACACATCGTCACTTACAGTCTGAGCACTTTTGAAATGTAGCTTGATAAGTCACACTTGAGGTCTCTATAGTACCCTGCGTCGCTCTTGCGCCGTAGGAGCAACCCCAGCCTTACGGTATTGTCACAGCTTTGGGTAGGTCCTATGGGAAATCAATTCAATACTCTCCTATTGTCGACTTGCTTTGCCCAATCTGCCCCGACCTTCAGCCCCTATCAGACTCAGGGCGACTGCTTCACGCTTGCGCTTTGCGGGTATACTTCGAAGGCGATGAAGGGAACGTTAGTAGGTCATCATGTTTTTGGTAACCACAACGGAGAGTCAGCTCAAACGGACATTGATGGATGCTTGTGTAGTTGGTCTGCACTGGCTCTGCTTCTGAATATTTGAAATCCTCCAACGTGGAACTACAGAGGACAGTCCATGTCTTACGAACAATTTGGATGCGCAACACATGAATCATCTTTCGTCCTCAAGCACAGAGTAATGTTATGCTCGACGCCCAAATTCTATATCAAATGGAAAGAAACCCTGTTCGAGCGGCACGCTACTCAGTGATCGCGCCTCTGTAGTTCTGTCGTCTCCGCTAACAGCTTGACTATCCAGCTCGCAACAATCAAATCCTGCATCTGGCGTCCAATGTTAAGCTCAAAACGAATCCACGGTGTGGCATCATCCCATCCGCTCCTGGCCTGTAAAATACCATATTCGATCATCCAACGATTATCCTCTTCTTTGTTTTTCGACCATTCGGGCGTCGTGCGCAGGAGGTAAGGCGAATGCGCAATTTTCCAGCACACCGTCCAATAGTGCAGGTATCTTAGTCTCGATTGACGCATCTAACAAAGCTTCTGTATCCTCTCTTGTCATTGGTTCTCCCTTCCAGTAGAAGCCGGCCTGAATGAGATTCAAACCATCGAGCAGAGACAGGAGTGGTCTTCGCTTATAAGCAAAATCACGTTCAAAATGGATGGCTCCAAGCTTTCCTCGGGACTATTGCGTGCATGATCCCCCCATGAATTGTGCAGCGTAGCACGGAACATATTGATTGTCATCCATTTAGCTCTTTGTGCTGTAGTGTACCAAATTCACAACGTTCCTCCGCTGATCTACAACGAAAAAGCCAGCACGCAACGGGGTAATCGTTTGCCCTTCCAATACAAGCCTCCATCCAATACCGTATCACACGACTCATCTGCTAGCGCATGTTGGAGGTCTTTTTCAATGACAAAGCCTGGAACGCATTGTAAAGCCACGTTCTGGCTTTATGTGCGATCCGTCTATGGTCTGGCTCCTGATGTTCGACTGTCTCCATTGCATCATCGTAGGTACCTTTTAGTGTAGTAGAACGAGTTCTGAGCCTGTTCCATTACGCGTTTGACAGAAAGGCCAGCCGCACTGGCTGGGGACTCGACGTGGAGGCGAGCAAGCAGGAACCCTTGATTCAGTTGGGTTAGCATGGATGGTGAGAGAGAGTAGTCGCTGACATGTTCTCGGCTGTATTGAAGACCCTTTCTTTGATGAGGATTCACCGTACTTTAGTGTTGTATCGCCCACGAAATAGGTCCTAGGCCAGCTGGTCAATCCAGGGCGAATGGTTGTATATCATAGCGAACATACTCTACCTAGATTAGATCGCGATGTTGTAACAAATTATGGGCTCACGGCAGAATCCCAGAGTGCTCAGAGTCGACTCTTATATGATTTCTTCACCTAAGGCTTCGCAGTAATGCTCTAGCGTCTTTTAGATATATGCGGGGGCGGGAACGGCACGAGCCTAAGATGGAGTTCCCGGTAAGATCTGCGGGTACCGTACCGATCCCCGTAGCGTACCTTGAATTGGTAAACCTCTACTAAATCATAGACCCGTGGTACAAGTATCGTGAATGTCCAACACATTCAACGTCCGGCCATTATGCGCTCCTTATTGTTGCATTGCGCACTCCTCACCTCCACATTCGCCTTATGGCCTCAACCCAAGCAATTCGAGCATGGCTCGTCAACCTTGTGGCTCTCACCCAATGTTAAGCTCGTGCACACAAGTAGAACAGCCCCGTCTCAGCCTCTCGAGTGGCTCTGGACTACCGTGGAAAAAGTGATCTTGTGAACAGCCTCCCAGTACTCCTGTCATATCCTTCGCACTGACCCCAACACCGCAGCTTTCCTCATAATGGCATCACGCCAACAAAGGGCCAGGTTTCATCGGAAACTCTGCTCCAGTCGGCATTTGAACGTATGAAGCACAACGTTCTGAATCATAGCTTCGTGCCTCGGAAATTCCATGCGAGAGACGTTCAGTTCGAGCCGGCCACAGATGACTCAAAGCGGTACATTGAGCAGCTCGCCATTGAAGAAGACCCGCGCAATGACTTGGCGGATACCGAGCGCTTGGACAAGTCCGAGGCATACGCCATTGAGGTCTCTGAGGATGGTAGCGCAGTGATCAAGATTGCTTCCCCAGCTGGGGGACTACACGCACTTGAGACATTTGCTCAACTTTTCTTCGCTCATTCCACTCCAAATGCTGGCTTCTACACGCCATACGCTCCTCTCACGGTTAAGGACAGACCAGCGTTCGGACATCGAGGCCTCAATTTGGACATTTCCCGCAATTGGATCCCACCCGCAGATGTAATGCGTACAATTGAAGCTATGGCCTCCAATAAGCTCAATCGACTGCACATACACGCGACCGACGCCCAGTCGTGGCCTCTCGAGATCCCAGCCCTCCCAGATTTAGCACTCAAGGGTGCATACAGTCCATCTCAAATCTGGCATACAGAAGATTTGGAGGCTGTCCAGCGCCACGGTACGAATTACGGTGTGCAAGTATTCGTCGAGATCGATCTTCCTGGCCACACTACCTCTATTGGTAATGCTTACCCACACCTCGTCACCGCTAAAGACATGCCCTGGCCTGAGTACGCCCTGGAACCACCATCTGGCCAACTACGACTCAACTCTTCCGAGGTCCCGCCTTTCATCGAGACCCTCCTTACCGATCTACTTTCCCGTACATCAAAGCACAGTTCCCTATTCCATCTTGGCGGCGACGAACTAAACTTGAATGCGTACTTGTTAGACCCGACGGTCAATTCCGCCTCTCATCAAATCCTTCAACCGCTAGTCCAGGCCTTTATCGATCATGTTATCTCCCTGGCAACATCATATTGCCTGACAGTAATCATGTGGGAAGAAATGGTAATCGACTGGAACCTCACCCTCCCCAAAAACGTCATCATCCAAACGTGGCGAGGCAGCGACGATAATGCTCTCACTTCCATTCTGAACAAAGGATACAGAACCTTATTCGGCTCAAACGCTCATTGGTACCTCGACTGTGGCCACGGCTCCTTCATAGACCCGGAGTCTGCGAACCCAGATAGCCCTGTCAAACCACCCTATCTAGATTACTGCGGTCCGTACAAGAACTGGCGGCACATGTATGCGTACAATCCAGTAGCTCATATACCCCAAAGCCAAAGACACCTAGTCGTCGGCGGAGAAGCTCATCTGTGGGGCGAGCTTACGGACAGTGTCAATCTGGATGGTATGCTGTGGCCAAGGGTGGCGGCGGCGGCAGAGGTGATGTGGAGTGCCCCTGGAAAGAAGCCCGACGAGAGCACGACAAGGAGGTTGGCTGACATGAGGGAGAGGCTTGTGATGAGAGGGGTTGGCGCTGGGGTTGTGCAGATGGAATGGTGTCTAAGGCATGAGGGCGGCTGTAGGCTTTGATGGACGAAATATCCATGCTCAAGGCCTACCTTTACGTTCCTAGCCTACGTACAACAGTATGAGCAACGATTATGCACACCAGTCATGATCGAAATCATCTTTCTGAGAACTCCCCCATTGGTTATGACATAAGAGATACAAATGGATATCACGACTTCGAGCTTATGAAGATGATTCTAGCCAATGCACGTTCTTCTAAAATTAAGAGTGGTGCGGGGCAGGATTGCGCGAGGCTGAAAAGCAATGATCCATCAATCAACTTCGAGAACACACCTTCTCATATATATATCGTCAGCCAGATATGACCGACCCTGTCACGATCCTGGGGACTGTTGCCGGAGTTGCATCACTGGCTATACAACTCACTCAGATCTTGCACGACTACTGCAAGGGTGTCTCTGACTCTGGAAGTGATGTTCAAGGGCTCCTTGCCGATACACAACAGCTTAGTCAAGTCCTCACCAAATTGGAGGATCTTGTCAGAAATGACTCCTTGAAGCTATCCCAGTCATTCACGACCACAACGACCTTGTACCTTGCCAATGTTCGCTGCGGAGCAAGACTCCGCTCTCTCCTCGCCGACTTGAAAAAACATTCGCAGGGATCGCAGGCTCGCCAAGCGCTCAAGGCGTTGAAATGGCCATTCAAAACGCGAGAAACGCGGAATATTTCGGCAGAGCTTCATGGATACACCCAGACGTTCCAATTTGCTCTTACCCTTGACGGCTGTGAAATCCTGTTGAAGACCTCTGGAGATGTCTCTAAAATTCTCCAGAACTCACTTCGCTCCGCAACCATCACAGAGGAGAGTGCAGAAAATATCGGTCTGATTCTGACGATTGTCACACCACTACCTGAGGTGACGCTAGCCATACAAGAGGATGTGAAAATTCTGATTGATGAGAACATCTTGAAATGGCTAGGTGCAACAGACACAAGCGCGAAGCACCAGACGGTCAAGAGGAGGCGATCACCAAATACTGGGCAATGGATATTTCAGGACAAATGCTATAAGCAATGGGAAAACGATGTGTCACCTGTCTTGTGGGCGCAGGGTAAACCTGGCGCAGGCAAATCTACTTTGATGTAAGGCAACCCCTCATTACTACCGAGACCTATGTTTCTAATACCAGTAGGTCCTGCATTGTCGATAAGCTCAAAGCTGATGCTGGCCGCGGCGAAGGCGTGGCTTCTTTCTACTGCGATTATTCGCAGACGTCAGACGTGCAGACACCCGAAGCGATCTTAGCAAGCTTTTCATATCAACTCCTCCGACGGCTTGACTCTATTCCCGTCGAAGTAGATTCCATCTACCACCGTCATCGCAGAGAAAACACCAGACCAGATCTCAACGAACATGTTGAGATACTCAAACACATTTCGACGGCGTTCTCCAAAGTATGGCTGCTTATCGATGCCCTTGACGAATTTGATCCAGATTGTAGAGACGATCTGGCGAGGGTCATCGAGACTTTGATGACTTTCACCAAAGTACTAGTCACTAGTCGCCCACAATCCATCGATAGCGAGAACCTCGAAGGTCACACTCTGCGCTGTACAATCTCCGCCCAAGACGAGGACTTGAAAGTCTTCATCGAGAGCAGGATGGCCACCGCCTCCCGAGGCATCCGCGAGAGTCCTGGATGGAACGTTTTCGTCAGCGATGCACAGGAAAAGCTCGTCACGCTGGCAGATGGAATGTTCATACTTGTGTCTCTCCAATTGGATATGCTATTAAGACTACACACAGTGACAGAAATGAGAAGGGCCCTCGAAACCATACCCGACAAACTGGATGACTTCTACAAAATCACACTAGACCGCATCAGAGCTGGAAAGTCAGATAAACCACTCAAGATTCTTGCCTGGCTAGTAACGTCTCGCCTACCCATCACTGTTGGAGCATTACGGGAAGCGCTTGCCGTTGAAGATAGTACAACGTTCATCGACCCGAATGCGATGATTCCTGAAGATGATATAGTACCAATGTGTTGCGGCCTGGTCTTAATCCATGTGGACTCCTACACCGGTGCCAGGAAACTCTCACTAGCTCACGCAACTGTGCATGAATATCTATCCAAGAACCTGGAAATGGTCCATGGCTTTGACCGCATCATAGCGAAGGCATGCGTGAGATTTCTAGATCTTTTAGATTCCTCCACCAAAAGGGAACTCGACTTTGATAGGCACCCATTTTTTTTCTATGCCATCCTCATAAGTAACTCTAGTAAATGCGATATCGGGAGATTTGTCCCTCCGGTCAAGCTCAGGGCCAAGCTGTTGTCTGATGGTGCCCATCTGAAGACCAACCGTGGTACACCCTTTTGCGCCGGCCCGGAGGTAGTCATCCAACAACCGCGCTTTTGTACGAATCCCGGCGGAGACTAGTGAAAGTTGGTCAATGTTGGCATACTTTCTCTACCCCAGTCAACCCCAAGTCATTGCTCGAGGCGAGTAGAATACTAGGACTGTGCAACCACGCTTAGTAGCAGCAATGGTGAAACAGAGATTGTCTTAAAATCCTGTTATCGAGTTCCCCAGACAATTGATTGGAAGCGCTAGAATTAATGGCCCGTTCGTCGGCCAGCCACTGTGGAATCAGTGCTCCTTTTATTAGTGCATGGAATTGATGTCTCGCCGCCATAGCCTGTAACGCAGCTGTCATATCTGGGATAGATCGATCACCTTGGCCAATGACCGAATCTGACCAGCTAGAGCCTAATTCGACCGTTTCAGACAAGAGGATTAGCTGTACCGTTTGGAGGGCGCAAATTCTTACCACCATCTCAGGCAGGAGTGAAACTCCAAGCACGTTCTGCCTTGTGGCAAGGCTGGCATATTGAAGGCTATCTTTGTCGATGATCTCTAATTATAGTATAAATGCGGAGATAACGAGATCTATCTGGCCCGGTTCGAAGATTTCAAAAATTGACCACCGACATATTCGTAGTCCCGGTAGGTGAGTGAGGTTTTATACAGCATTTCAGCAACGATCGAAGTGTAACGTTGAAGGACGGGCAGATCCGTAGAGTGGATTTGTCTCTGCCTCCAAAGCTGGGCCTCTCTGTATAAGGGCAAGAATATGTTACACAGTCGAGGCAAATGACATGGTAATCGAAAGTTTAACTTGCTTGCCTTGGTCTGTGGCACCTTCAACCGAACTGCGTACGACGGGTCCGCCTTCTTCCGAAGGCGAATATTCTCGGGTTATTTTGCCTTTATAATCAATGAGGACCTCTTTCTCCTCAAGCAGATTCGGCCAGCCTTCAGCAACGTACTTAGAGACTAACCTGTTTAGCTCGATTTGCAAAGCTTTAAGACACCCAAGCGCTCATCAAAGCCTGCATCGCTGTCGGGCTCCAGCCCTCGCAAGCTTTCTTGCACATCCAAAGCATTGAATTGGGCGGTCTTTGCCGCTTTGCAGATGAGCATCTTTTCGATCTTACTTTAGCCAGTTGTAATCACTTGAAGGACAATAGAAACGTGCGAGACTGTCGAGCGCGATGGCATGAAGCTTTGGCGTTGCCGCAGACGGGTGTTTCTTGAGGTACGACCTGAGGATGTTTCGAGATCGCCAGAGCATGCCAATCATGTCGCTGTTCGCAACTTGGCCCTGAAGGAACCTAAATTGCTCTCTCACGAACTGGTTCTGATACTCAGCAACCCCCACCATAAATTGTTCTGCTGCTATTCTAGTTTCCAGTCCCAATAGCTCGGGATCGTTGACTATGAAGCCCATGACCTCATTTGAATCTCGAAAAACAAGGTGATCATTCCAGCCGACCGGAACTTGTGGCTCAGCGAGACGAGAGAGGTTACAGTAGTCTTGTCCGGATTCTCGGTGCTCAGGTGGACGCGACGATGAGCAACGTACAGTGTACCAGAATAGGAGTTTGCCTTCGTATAGCTGTCTCGAGCGTCATTCAGCAGTTCTAGCCCTCGTTGACGGTCTCGAAGCTTCACAATCATAGCTTGGTTAAGCCGGGTCTGACCTCGGATCTCCCAATCATCTTCGACTAGGGATTCGTAGAAATCATTGTTGAGATTTCCTCGGATTTGATAGCTTTCACGAATGTCATCCACAATCAATAAAATGTCAATTTCAAGCCATTTCAATTCTTTGGATCGCAGATATCGTCGTAGGCAAGTCACTCTTTGGCCGAAGCTGGCCTCATACGGGTAGAAACGTTGCTGTATGAAGAGCAAGCGAAGTCTTATCAACCAAAACTCCAGCCAAATATATAGTTCAGTCAGTCAAGCAACTCCTGTCTAGACAGACAGAAGCAAGAAACCTTGCCCCTGCCTCGGGGATGAAAGAGTCGCCTTCGAAAGGCGTATTCGAAGTCTGCTCGAGATTTATTCGCATCATACAAGGAGCTTTCCGTCTTGCAACTAAGGTTCAACAATGAGCTGTATTAATTTCGCAGCAATCGAAGGCAAGATCATTATCTTACAATGTTAGTGAACGGAAACCGCCTCGACTCGTTCAAGGAAGGACAGCGCCTGCGCTAGCACCGTGATATCCTCTTGGTAGATCCATCTTGCGTGATCGCTGTAGATAACACCGAAGAATCAATAATGGCTTTGGCAGCACGGATATGGCCATAGACTAGATACAAACGCGCAGCAGACGCCGCTACTACCGACGTAGCGAGCAGCTTTGGTGACGCGCTTCGAATTTTTTTCGTCCGCCGTGGGGACTTCTCGCCGATACATCAATTGGTGAGGTCATCTGCAATGAAGTTTCGCTCTGTCCTACCAAGAAAGATTCGAGATAATGCAAAAGCAGGGTTCGTCAGAGAGCGAAACTAGCTGCGGACTTCGCGTGAGGCTATGGAGCCCCTACTAGGAGCTGCCCAGAGAGGAATCCAGAAAGGCGGCGAGCTGGAGGAAAGCTGGCAGCCAAGAAGCTGTCCCGATCTTCCTCGAAGAGCTTTGGCGGAAGAAGAGGTCCTGTTGGTGTACCCTTATGAAGTTGTGGCTGTCATGACCACTCGCGCAAGGTCGATTATGGTTAGAAAAAAGTCACTGATGATATGAAACAGCATGAACTACCTGTACGTCTGACACTCTTTTATACTACGAAGGCCGGCACCAAGACTCCTGCGCCAAGATGCCGGATAACGCACCGCCTGAAGTATTGCCTGAACAATGCGCTTAGAGCTGCATCAAAAGTGTGCCTAGCCTCAGCCGTGCCCCTAAGATTATCAGGTCAAGAGATCACTGCAGGGTAAAAGACTATAGGGCCAAAGTTTGATCATTGCTGTGCTTGCATGATATCTGAGCTTGTACTACTTTCGGGGCTCACAGCTCGGCAGGGGTGAAAAAAAGTTCGGCAGGGGTGAGTAGATACTAAGTATATGCACCTCGTCCGGGGTGAAAGGGATACACTCAGCATATACCAGCACCTCATCAGGGGTGAAGAAAATTAAATTCAGTTCAGCGATATTGACTCGCGCGAGGTAACTCACAATGAAAGCATATACTTAGCATATGCTGTTGAAATGTGGTCCCCACGCATCTTAGCCACCGTGTTTCCCAGCCATCTGATTTTATACTGTACTTACTTGTAGGACTTGGCCCCGAAGAGGTTTTGGAGAATTAATTCGTTCGTTCTACACATCACATATCTTATATTTTAATATATACTTCGCTTTTATCATATAATGCTGATCTCTTAAATCCTTATTTACGATCTCCCGGCCTTGATAGTTTCGGAACCCATTACGCGTGTTAGCAGCAGCCCCCACGGGGGCCCTGCGGCGTCCCTACGGGGGCCCTACGGGGCCCTATTTAGGTCCAAATAGGGGTGTCTGGCTGTCAAGCGCAGACACCCCCGGGATTAGGCTTTTTTAGCTGAGTTGCTAACAATAGTCGGGGGTGTCTGCGCTTGACAGTCAGACACCCCTATTTGGACCTAAATAGGGCCCCGTAGGGCCCCCGTAGGGACGTCGTAGGGCCCCCGTGGGGGCTGCTGCTAACAACGCGTTTACTTTCAGTACAATTTCATCATATAGTTAGTAGATTACGGAGATTGGGGCATATGCATAGTATATGCCTGTATCCCCCTCTAAAGTGCCAATATTATTTTGGACCCGGCCCGAGTTCATTCGGGGTGAAAGGGATACGTTCAGCATATGCTATGAGTTCATCCGGGGTGAAGCGAGTATATACCGAAGCTTCACCCCTGCCGAACTTTTTTTCACCCCTGCCGAGCTGTAACCCGCTATTTTCGAGCTTGTCCTCTTGTACTTAACATGCGCAGCCGCGAGCAGCACGACCGATTCCTTCCGGCGGTCTTGATTATCTTCAAGCAAATTGATTTGTCGCTTTACCCATGCTCACCTAGCTCACTCGCTAAAGCGGCCACACATTTCTCATGCCAAGCCGGGAAAAACTGCCATTCCAAAAATCCTCCATTGAAAACCTCACCAAACAATTGCACAGCTCTCCAAGAATACAAGCATGGCCGCACCACCGACTTTACCGGCTCTCCTCACCACCCTCACCGACTCCTTGGCCTCCGCCGCCCCCTCGCTTCCCTCCACCACGAACCTCGCCCCACCAGCCGAAGGCATATCCCTCCTCGACACCAAGAATGAACTACTCCTCTCCTACCTGCACAACCTCGTCTTCCTGATAATCCTCAAACTCCGCAACCGGTCCTCCCCCAATGCAGCGGACGAATCCTCCCTACACGACGCCGTGACCCACAAACTCGTCGAGCTGCGCATATACATCGACAAGGGCGTTCGCCCACTCGAAAGCCGCCTCAAATACCAACTCGACAAACTCCTACTCGCCGCTTCCGAAGCCTCCACCGCACCAGTCGCGAACAGCGCTGTCGAAACATCTCGGACCGCGGAACGGCGCGGAGCCGAATCGGATGCCTCGGCCAGCGACTCCGATGCCGAATCCGCTCCACGGCCAGCAATGCCAGATCTGGCCCACCGGCCCAATCCATCCGCCTTCGCTCGCCCCTCTGGAACCAAAGCCGGTCGTGCGTCCGCTTCCGATGGTTTGTACAAGCCCCCACGCATCACGCCCACCGCTCTGCCCACTACCGATGCTTCGTCCCGCAAGAAGGAAGTCAAGCCCCGCAAATCGCACACGCTCGATGCGTTCATCCGTGAGGAAATGGATGATGCACCCGTCGCGGAACCTTCTATCGGTACGGGTAGTGGGTTGAGAGGTAGAGAGAAGGAGAGAGATGAGGAGAGGAGGGGGTATGAGGAGACGAGGCTTGTCAGGTTGCCGGGAGACAAGAAGAAGAAAGACAGGAGGAAGGGGGAGGGCTTTGGGGAGGACTTGGCGGGTGGGTTGGGCGATTTTGAGTTTGAGGGACTGAAGGGCAGGGGTGGGAAGAGGAAAAGGGAGAGGGATGGAGGGGATGAGGGGAGAGTAGGGCAAGCATGGGAGAAGAGAGTGAAGAAAGGAGTCGGGAGGAAAAGGCGATGATACGACGCTGTACAATTTTCTTTTCCTACGCATGATTGAAGCGTCTCTTTAGGCACGCAGCCTCTGTGTGATAGCTGGTTACGGGGCTCTGCCGCTACACAAGCGACTTTGTGTGAGAGTCGCAGTTGTCTGTGGACCAAACATCTCCTTTTCCTAAAATGCATCGAATGAGGCAATCAAACATAACGATCCATCCTGGCCCTCCTCATATTTAGTCTCCTTGTGCTTTCAATTTGCAGGAGAGGCTTGGCCATCAATCCCACCGTTCATTCCAAACCTGAGTAGTACGACAAAATTGTCTTCCCTCTGCCGCGAACACTGCCATTTCAGCCTACTGTATACAATTTTCTTCCTTGCTTAGCTCGATTATTGTTTCTGGCACATTCACAAGCGATGGCAGAACAGCAACCACCTCATATGAAGTACAGAGCCAAAACGACAGTCGCACCCGCTTCCAGTGCTTTGTCTTTGGTAAAATATCCAAGCGCAGGCTATGGGTAATGCAAACGATAAGAAGAAATGCATCTGAGAAGACAGTTCTGGGGGTTTCCATCAGACAAAGCGGTAGGTGCGGCAACCGATGGCGTACAAGGGCTCGACTCTCAAGACAGTCCATTACTTCAGACGTGAGCAAGAGAAGCTGACAGCAACGCCACCCAATAGGCAAGCAAGGCGAGGTTACTTGGTCTTCTTCTATCCTGGCGCTGCACCAGCTGGTCTCGCTCCACTCAAGTTGACCACCATTCCTGGTCCAAAAGCAGGCGCTTTTCTCTCCTTTACCCATCCAGGCACTTCTTTGTTTGCCCTCGCTTTAATCACATCCCAAACACGTGGAAAGCCCACCTGGACAGGACGTGCGTCTTTCACGCCCGTTATTGCGAACCGATGCTGTGCATGGCTGATGAAGCCATGTAAAAGGCCTTGCTCGATCAGTGAGGCTACGATGGATTCGATGATTTCCATATTTGGTAGTAGCGGAGGTTCCGGGTCGACGACATCAGCCAGATCGGGATCGACATAGCTGTAAGGCAGTTCTGCGTCCGCCTCCTGAGGAGGTGGTGTTTGGGCCTTTGGGAAAACGAATATCGCATTGGTATGAGTGCGTTGGGTGCCAGTATGGCCGTTCGTAAGCCCGTTAGATTTTGGAGTATCTTCAGCAAAACCGAGTACCCTCTTTTCGAGGAGTGTAGCTAGCGTAAGCATATCCTGAAGCGAAAGCGTAGGCGCTGCTTTTCTTGTAACATCGCCTTGGGAGGTGACAGCGCCTTGAGATCCGGAAAGTGTAAATGTTCGGCGTGCTAGGGATCGCCAGACAAGTACTTCGCAACGATTCGAAAGCTGCAAAAGTATGCGTTTTTGAAGGAACCATTCAGCATGTTGAGCGTCCAGGTCCATGTATTTGCGGAAAGAGGCAAGGTCGCCTTTGGCAATGGCCGCGCATATCGGCTGGAATTTTTCGGCAAGGCCTGCTGCTTCGGGCCGCTGGAGCAGTCGAGAAGATGGAAACCGGCCGAGTATGATATTTGAGGTGGTGAGATAGATAAAGATGAGGCGGCGCTGACTAATGCATTGAGCATGGCACTGATCGTAAGCCGTTTGAAGAGCGAGTTGAGCCCGGTAGAAGTGATTGTTAGCGAAGAGATAACGTCCTAGGTAATAAAGAAAGGTGACTCGTTGAGCAGCGGGGAAAAGACCTAATGGGGGTGATTGCTGGTAGATGTTGCCAAAAATCTGTTCCGCGCTTCGAAGTTTTCGGCAGTGAAAGAAAAGCTTCAGGCAAAGATTTGCCATTAAGTAGATCCCAACTCGTCTTCCTTCCGGCTTCCCGTTGCTGTCAACGCCGGACGGAGGACCACTTCGTTCGCTTAGGCACTTTTTAAAAGCCTCCCTTATCACATTGGCAGAGCTTTCCACCAGGGTTACCCTCTCGGTAGCTTCGTTTTCCACGACAGACTCTCGTTTGATCAAGTGTTCGATCAACTCGGGTCTTTTATCAAGACCAATCGCGAGTCTAGCGAGAGTGTGTGACAGTGAGACGACAGTGGGCAAAACTATAACACCTATCGAGGAGCTCAATGCGAG